CTTGGACTATCTTATCATTATGGGATGGGACATTGTCTACTCATTTGAACAGTTGGCAGGGACGATCTTAGGGAAATGATGATATCGTAGATCGTGCATTGAAGGGCATGAAAAAAATCTGTTTACAGACACGTACCTAAATGAACAAGGAGGGTATCCAACACATCACTGATTGAAAATTCTGTTATGTCAAGGTCCTTTAGCGTGACGGCACCTACTTGGCGCCACGATAAAACAAAACAACCCCACAGGGCCGTTTTATTACACTTACAGACTAAATACACCGGTGATAAAACACAGAACTAAGCTGGCAGTCAAGGGCACTGATTGTAGAAGTTATGCATTTACGAGGTGGTTATTAAAGTAAGAAAACACCAGTGCTGTAAAACTTGTGAAAACTGATTATGTCAGGTTTGCCGTGTCACGCCTTTCTGGATATCTAGGTCAGCTCCCCACAGTGCACAGTTAGTCTGTTATTTGACTTGATCGCCATTCAGCACGAATCTCAACGGAATCTGTCTGTTTTAATGATTGGTAGTCCTTGAAATATCCCTCAGTCCTTTTACCTGCATCTTTTTGTTTAAACAAGGCACATTAAGTGCTGATGAATATGTGCGGGTTTCGTTTTTTCGCAGATTGGACATATTTATTGTTGAGTTTGTACGTAACTACCGGAGAAAACGTTGGCTCAGTATCTTCTTTATTTTTCATTTCAAGTTTCTACGAAAAGACCACGCAACGATAATCTTTACGTACACGTATAGGAGGTATAAAGATGCGTAAAGAAGGAATATACGTTAACCGTTAAGCAAAGTTAAAGCAACCGTAAATATTGTTTTTCGTGCCGTGTCTATCTTTTTAAGAGTTAGTTTTGACATCATTATATGCGTTATAAAACGTAAATGTACAAGGCAAATCAGGTATTTCTATCACACTACAATCGGCAGAATACACAATTATGCCATACAAAATTATGCCAATTTAATTTTGAAATACACCATCGCCTGCTGAAGACAACATACACTGGTATTTGCAGAGACACCCAAGCATATATATAGATGTTGGCTGCAATACATGCCAAGCAAGCACTGCACAAAATCCTATCTTTAAGCACATCTTAAAGCATGCGTAAAGGTACATTTAAGAGAAGAAACGGTATCTTAACGAATTCTTTAAGATGCTTAAAGAATGAATTTTGTGTAGTGATGAGTAAAAGAAAGTAAAGAGGAGAAGCGCTTACCTTTGAATGACAAAAGCAGAACGACCAGAATGGCGATGTCGACAGCAAGGTGATTTTTCGACCGTGCACCAAACATCGTTCGTGTTTTCTATTATGAAATTTAGCCCGGGAAAATAAAAGTTACTGGTGAAATAGATGTTTTCGTGTTCAGTTAACTCTCGCTAACTGGTCTCCACTGGTTCTGTTGAAGTCAGGGAAAAGCGTAACCCGTTCGCAACGTTACGCCAGATGTTTCCGCCCTAGCGAACCTTACTGGAGTCTTTCACCACTGGTTCCAGAGACGTGAGGAAAATGCTAGCGCCTAAGAAGTTGCGACTCTTGTCAGCGGCTTGCTACTTAAGTCGATTGCTTCACACCCGAATGCATGAATCTGGAAAGGCTGCGCGGTAAGCCCAGGGATGGATACTTGGCACAAAGATGAGAAGACAGAAGATAGAAAGCTCTCTGTTGGGAGGGTCTTGCATAAATGAGCTAACTACTTGTGGTTTGGGAAGTTGGGTTGTACCATGTTTGGTGCAGAGGGGTCGCATATCTACTTTACAAGGGAATGGCAATTCTATATCTGCCTTTGTCTCTCAAATTCTAATTACTTGTATTCAATGCGAATGGTTTAACAAAAGATTAATAAACAGAAACATGATAGCTATTTTTAAATATCAGTTTGCACGAGGACCCTACGATGGCAATGGAACATTCCAGAGAAAATGCACACCCCTCCGTGTGTCGGATGATTTGTGTGTAATTATCTAGACGGTAATTACTGAGGACAAATGTTCCTGTTGATTAATCTGTCCCACACACTGTTGCGTACATCCATATTTGTTTAACTCTATTAATCAAGCATCATGTCTTGAATGCCAATGTCACCTCGCCTCTAACATTTGTCATGTTTGTTTCAATTAAGCCACAGCAAGTAAATTTTATGGATGACATCCTCCGCAGACTCCAAATCTAATGCGAGCGGGCGAGAAAAAAAGGCGGGCCGAAAAAAACGAGGTTCCTACATTTTAAAAATTTTGACTCAATCAGTATACAAATGGTTTTGATTCAGTGGGAACATCACATATACACAGCCAACATCACATATCACAGCATCAAAGTAAGAAACAAAACATTAAATCAGAGCCTTTTCTTGTCTCCCCTCTTCATATTTATCTGCCATGGCAACAGACATTGCCCATTTTCGGCATGTTGACCGCTGTCAGAAGGCAACAAAATTTCTTTTTTTTTCTCCAAAATCAGGCGAAAATTAATGCGTGCTCTGATGTCATCCATAAAGATTACTTGCTGTGGCCGTATGTGCGGTAAGATATATGTACCCTCGTATTGCCGAGTAATTAAACACCTTTATAATGTCGACGTCACCCAGTGCAATTCCAAGGCAATGAAATATTCTGGATCCGGATGAGGAAATATGTCTGATATTGTCATTTACTGCCACATTTTCAACATCATCTTATACTTCGTGATGAGGTCCTGTATTTTTTGGTGCCACCAATAAATAGCTAGAACCAGCCTAGGATACAAAACAAGCAACAGTTTTTCGTCAGTGACATAGCGTCTTTGCCTCAAACATATTATGCTATGGAATAGCCTCATTATGCTATGGGGTGGGGTTGATTCAACTTCTAGCATTTTTTTAAATGACATTGTTTAGCATGTCAGGTGTTGCGGTCTACAGTCTACCCCAAGAAACAATGGGTGGGCAGACGCCAGGTAGCATCAGCTCGGCTGTCTACCAGCGCCGCCTGGCGGCCAATGCGCGAGATACTCAGGATATATGTTAAGGCCCGGTCACACTGGGCGAACTTTGCCGGAGCGTTCCTTTAACGGTAGGGACGGGGGCCGAATTTCGACAACGCTCGTCACCGCGCCCAAAATGTGGGGGGAAAAAATTAAAACACGGGCGTTGGCTTAGCGGTGCACCGCTGAATCCGGCGTTGCTTTAGCGTTGGTTTAGCGTAGCGAGCATTGCTTTAGCGGTGACGCGAGCGTTGGTATAGCGGCGTTCTGCGCATGCGGTTTAGAACCATACCGCTTGTGATGTGTGTCGACTACGGATCGTTTTGTAGTAGTGCAAGTTCTGTTCTGTGTGTGTGGGGACTTTTAGCTTTAATAAACATCATTTTGTTAATCTATTCTTGACTACGTTATTTACTCAATAATGAAAATAAAACTTTGCAGATTGCAAAGTTCCCCTGTGACCCCAATAAAGTGATTGCCCGTGTGACCATTCTATGAACATTTTACGTGTGGCCCCAAAATAATTGCACACTAGTGCACCAATCATAGCAAGTCTTTCAGCATCCATGGTGATACAGTTTTGCTGTAACTTCCAACAAATTCGATATAGATGAGGCAGCTCGATTCCAAATGAGCACCTGGTCCATTTCTATTTATAGCCAAATTCTGGTCCCGCTCCGACACCTCTATACCAACGCCAAACCAAAGTTCATTGCCGACATGGATCGCTGCTTCAACGCCTGACACCGTTCCAGCAACCCCGTGTCCGTTCGTAAAACTCTTGCAACCGCTCCAGCAAAGTTTGTGCAACGTTTGTGCAACGTTTAATCGCCGCCCGGGCAACGCTGGGGAAGCAGCGGTGGTCCAGCGTTCAAGATTTCTGCGTTGGCCTAGCGGACCCAAGCGTCCACGAGCTTGCGTCTAGCGATGCCAAACTTTGACTGGGCGTTGGTGGAGCGGGGGTGAACTTTGCCGGGGCGGAAAATTTCCCCCTCCTCACCGCTCGCAATATTTTGTGCAGCTCAAAACTTTCGGAGCGGTAGGAGGGCCCCTCCAGAAACATCAGCGGTGGCCGGGCGTACACGGCGTTGCTTTAACGGGGGCCAACTTCTGTTTAACGGTGGTGAACGGTTTCGAGTGGTGATGAATTTTATTCACCGTTCAAGGAACGCTCCAGCAAAGTTCGCCCAGTGTGACCGGGCCTTTACATTCCTTAGTCAAATGATCTCGAATGGTTGCAACACATATTGATGCACTCTTACATTTGCAAAATAACGTTTTCTATTGTAGGTCACAGTTAGGTCCAATTTTAGCCACCTCTCACTGTAGCTTCTGTTGGACTAAGTGGGAATATAGCAAATATTTTACTGATAGATAAGCAGTCTTCTTAGTTACCTTTTTAGGACGGCAAACTGCGAGATACGTTCATTTTAATAGTTTGGATGTTGATAGATAGTATGCATTGCATGCATGCGATGCTTGAAAAGGGATAAAATAACTCCATACTCAACCGTCTAAGACATCTCGGAACGCATCTACATCTGAAATCTGTGCCATATGCAATTTGTGAACCAGTCAGAATTGTCCTGAGGAAGGTGACAGGCGGTCACCTTAACGTCAGCTAAATATAAAACTAAAAATAAAAATGTTCAATCAACTCGGAATGATACTCGGCAGCTAAAGGAGCTTTGGTAACCAGATCAGGAATGAACATGGTTGGATTTCATGTGTGGCCTGACATTACTGTAAATAGATCTAGATTAATGAAGTAGGTCACTCGGGAAAACAACCCACCGCTACTAAATGTTTTGACCTCTAGTACCTCTTACACGCATTAATAATACATGGACAGAATTTCATAAGCAATCATTTTGTGTGATTTTAATCATAGCAGATATGGGCGTGGATTCGTCTGTAATTATAATCAACCGGTCAGTAGTCACATGATTACCAGGATGTTAATATTGTTGTATGGGTGATTTGCATTCGATTCGAATTCGCTCAGATGACATGAAAAATGGCGGCTGCAGATGATCCAACTGAGATTGGTGTCGACTTTTTGCAGTGTACTATCTGTCACGACACCTTTAAGGAGCCAAAGATCCTTATTCCCTGTCTTCATACTTTCTGCAAGATATGTTTGAAGGAATGTGTTGCTACAGAGGAACCGGTTGGTTATCTGTCTTGTCCAATCTGTCGTCAGGAGGTTCAACTAACTCAAAATGGAGTCGAGAGGCTAAGGGATAACTCGTTCGTAGCTAGTCTTGTCGCCGCTGTGCAGGATCACATCAAGATAGGAGAAAACCCCATGCAGATCCTCTGTTCTCGCTGCGATGCCGGGGCCGTGGCGGCCTGTAGGTGTGTGGAGTGTGCCGAGTTTCTCTGTCAGGGTTGCGAGTCCGCTCATCGCCGTCTGAAGTCTACTAACGGACACACGCGCCTGACCATCGACGAGCTCCAAACAGGGCAACACGACGACAAACTCCGCAGGAAAAAGACCCCTCAATGCGAGGTCCATCCCGGTAAGACCGTGCGGTTGTTCTGCACGACGTGCCAAGTTCTCATCTGCCGGGTCTGTGCCGGTACCAACCACCAAGAGCCTACGCACCAACACGCGGAGTTGGGCCAAGCGGCAGCCGAGCGGAAGAAGCTAATCAAAGATCTCATCAAGCGATGCCAACGGCAGGTACACAACCTACACAAGCATGAGAAGATACTGTCAAAGATGGAGCCATACCTCGAGCAAAACGAAGAGAAAGCAAAATCGGAGGTTACTAAGAACATGAAACGGCTCATCGACATCATTCAGCAGGAAGAAACTGTCATGCATAACGCTATCACCCAGGCTGCAGAACAGCAAAGAAAGAAATTACAAGACAAGCTGGATGTGAAGCAAACCTCGCTCGCAAGCACGAAGACAACGTGCGACTTCGCGACAGCATTAGCAAGGGAAGGGGACATCTTTGAACTGCTGACCTTCAGCAAGGACATAGAGCAACGTCTTCGCAGCATCGCAGAGCAATCCAGCACAGACCCTGATGCTGACTTGACAAAAGTCGCCGTACAGTACGACAGTCTCAAACTACAGCTTAAAAGTGAATTTCCCAAAAATGCCAAGTACCGCATGTCTCACAAAGAACTGAAGGAGATTGCGGGATCATCAGACAAATCAGTGACAACAGCAGGGCTATTGGAACCTATGCGGCAACGGTGAGTACATGCTTTTGTCTTACACTTTGCTACTTCTTATTCCTTGAGCTCATTCTCAAGCTTGGCGCTCATCAGCATATTACATGAACTTCATTCATTTCTGTACGCTGATTTGCTAAAACTTCGGTAGTCTTTCACGTTGCTGAAATTGAATAATTTTGTTATCATAGCTGCGTGATTTCAAAGACCGACATTTCTGCAAAGGCAGGGATAAGCTGATAGACACTTCATGTGTACTAGCAGTAATTTGCAATGGTAAAACAGCCATCCTCAACTGAGGTGAAGCATAATAATGCTTTTTCAAGTAGCTATCAGTGCAATGAGGTTTTGCTACGTATACAGATCGCGTTTGTAGCCAAGCACACCCCTAATCTTCTCGATACGTAAAATTATCCAAGTTTATAGAGACGCCTTGTCACCCTTTTTTTACTTCAAGAATTCATGATTTTCTTATTTACTGTAATCCAGTTCCAGGAGTTGGAGTCCACCTGTAGCTGTTCGACCACCAGAAGACCTCCCCCTCCAGCACGGGCAGAGTGTGGCTGACATCGTGTGGCACCTCATGGGCCGGTAGCATTAGCTGTGCTAAGGAGGCATGGAAAACAGTATCGAGACAGGATACAATTCACCATAGTTGAAGCATTTAATAATACCAAGAACATCGAAGATGAATGCTAGTAATCTCCAAGCTGATCTTTTGGTGGCTGCAAGGCAGAATCAAATTGGCAATTGGCTGTATTCAATACGCCACACGCGATATTAATACAATAAGAAAGCACAAAAACGCATCAATCACGTCAAAATAATACCTCTGCTTGGAGAGTGCAGGCAATAATCTCCAAGCAGATATTTGGGTGGTTACAAGACAGCATTAAATTGACCAGTTTCCAATATACCACCTCATAGTTGCTTGGGGAGTTATTAAATAAATGCAGGTTCCTGTAGGTTCATTCTGTGATGTCAAAAGCTACAAAAGTCCAGATTGAGGAGTATACATGCCATTGTGGCGAGCCTAGAGCACAGATCTAGACTGGAACCCATAACCTTTAAAGTGTCCAGTTAATAAATTCCGGTAAAAATTGCACACAGAATTATCACGTAATAAAAAAAATTACATCTGCATATTTGGGTGAAATGGGGACAGCCAAAGCTATCAATCAACTTCCATGATATCGCATATGTCAATTATGTGATAACAATTAGTTGTAAAGGGCACAGCATTAAGTTATGTTATGATACATGTACATACGTTAAATGGCACTGATAGGATGATACCTCGATCTGTATTACAAATTCAAGGTGCCCAATTATTCAAGAATGGTAAGCATATATGCATTGTTTGCGTTCTTATGTAAGATGATCATGCAAAGTTACTTGTGGATACAACTTTTATTTCTCAAACTGTAGAAATCATTGAACAATTTTCCGTCAGTTTGCCATGTTCACATCACGTGAAACATATCACTTTGATAAGATATTTGAATACTGTGTAACTTAGTATCATGATCTTTATATCTTTATCATTGATGAGTTTGTGAGCTGCTGACATTGATTGATTGATTGATTGGTTGATTGATTGATCAATTGATTGATTGATCGATTGATTGATTGATTGATGTACAAATTGGCCATATCCTAAGTGGGAATGACGCCCCTTGTCCTACCTGACCTTGATGTAATACATTATGCCATATTTCATTGATTCTATATGATATCCAAATCTAACAGAAGTAACTAGTGTTAAAGTGTTGCGTTTTTGCACAAGCACACTATAATCACTATCGCCAAAACGAGCTCTAACTTGAATATAATTTTTTTTTATCTTTCGGACATATTGTTCTGAGCGACCAATTTCAGTTAAGACAGAGCTATCATGACATATTTATCTAGGAATCAGTGGATTTTTAACAGTTCTATAATGTTGATCAAAATCATGAGGAGCATTAGAGGATATGTTTGTTTACAAAAGACTGAGCTACAATGGCTTCACGGAATCTTCTTAGGTCTGGTCTTCATCGGCCCTCTCGGCCATGATCCATCGGCGTTTTGCTCCTCAATCACGATGATCTGTAAGGAAAAAATACATTTTTGATAGACAGAACATCTTTGAGAGAGGTCTATGATTATTGATTTATATTATTTATCATTTATATCATAACAACATATCATTCAGAGATATGACTGTTATACAATTACATTAATCTCCACCCACAAATTGGTCTGTGCAATAGCTGTAATATATTATAGTCTAAACAGTAATAATGATCGTAGCCACAGAGATAATACAATAATGCGCACTTGGTAGATGAACCAAAGTAGTAGCTTACCTGGCCTCCATAGAGTCCAAAATCCCCTACAGTGTTTTCGGGTTTGTTTAAATGCTCGTATGTATTAGACATGTACTTGTTCCACAGACGCACAGACCGATTCTTTGGAATGTTGAAGAGAGTCCTCATGTCTTCTTCCATTTGACCTATTTTGGAGAACAATATGTGTCTGTGATGAGATTAGTAATAGTTATTAGATTAGATTAGTATTATCAATACTGTGGGATTACTTAGTTTTAGAACATTATAATATAGGCATGCTTTTGTACCAAGTGCAGGCAAGGAGGGATGCACAGGTGGCCCCCTAAATTGTGTTTGTTACAACATACAAAAACAACTATAATATACAAATCGGTGCAACAATAAAATAAACATGTTGAGGAAACAGACCAAAAACGATGGCTAAACTAGGCTATATTAATGTTTTGTTAATAAGTTTGCCGAAAGGAAAGGTTTTTGCAAATTAAGCCTGGGATATATAAAGAATACTCTTATCTAAAAACCACCAATTAAAACGACCTTATCGTACTCAGAAAGAAATGGCCATATGCTTCCTCTCTATTTTGAAATTCGGTTTTACCTATTGTGTCGCCTTTGCTGTACAGTTGAGTTACACAGTGGTCCATGTTGGGATGTCTGTACAGATTCAGCTCCACCAGGAACACTTCTACTTTGAGGTGTTTTACAAACAGGCCATGCTCAACTACCTGTAAGGATTGAGATAAGTAAGAAACTACCAAAACTGTTCGCTAATCATTACCTTATCTCCAAGCAGATCATACGGTGACAAGGCAGTATTTTCTGTGGCTAATGCATGCCTTCTCCTCTGGCAAGGATGCCACCTTGCCACCGTATTATCTGCTTGGAGATCATCATTACCCAGAAAGTGTGGCAAATGATACCGTGTTAACGGTTGTCAATCAGGTACCTAACACATCCTTTCATACATGGCCTTCTTTACGCACAGGTCAGGTCAAACCCGATTTTTTTTTACAAATCGGATGGCACCCCGGCTAGGTCAATGTTACAGTGTAATGAAATCGTGTGGACATCAGCGATATTCTATGACTTCAGCTATGTGTTGGCGTATATTTTATTGGTTTTTAAGATTCCTTGGGGTAGGCATAGATACAAAATGTCTCACAGTCGTACCTTACGGGGAATGACGTGACGGTCTTTGATTCCGTACCAGGAGACAAGTATGCAGAACGCCTCCACAGGAACAAGGCGATAATCCAACTCATCAATCAGATTGTCTTTCAGGAAAACAGCATCAGGATTCTTTGGGTCTGGATGGAAAAGGCAACATTCATGTAATGTAAATCCAAGCAAGACAAAAAAGAAAACAATTTTAGTCTTTTACCTATTGAACAGATTTCTATTTCAACGACTACAAGCAGAACAACCTTACAAGCAACGCTGCATTCTACCTTACAACCAACGCCGTATTCTACCTTAGAATCCTTCGTCGGGAGGATATAT